AGATAGATAGATAGATAGATAGATAGATAGATAGATAGATAGATAGAATCTTAGTTAGTGTTACTATCGCTGTGAAGAGACACTATGACCACGGCAACTCTTTTAAAGGAAACAGTTCATTGTGGTGGCTCGCTTATAGTTTAGAGGTTCAGTCCATCATGGCAGGGAGCATGGTGGCATACAGGCAGGCATGGTGCTGGAGAAATAGAGAAGTGTTCTATGTCGTGGTCCAGTGCCAACCCAGACCACAAATTATTTCTCCGGACCAGAGGGGAGGCATGGGAATAAAGACACAACTCACATGGCTTTATCGGGAGGGAGTTCTCAGTGATCCCTCATGAAATCCTGAGTTCACATCCTGAAAATTCACCCGCGTTTATTCTCCAAACAGCTAGCTTTTATACCAAAATGTAAACTGAGGGGGAAATTCATTAGCATTCTGTTTCCTAGGTAGCGGGACTAAAATCATGTCCGCAACTATGGTTCCTCTGTCAGGTAGCCTGGATTAATACCTCTTCCCAGGTGATGTCTATAATTACAAAAACGGAGCAGAATGATATTAACATATCCTGATGCATTGTTTAGGATAGCATAACAATACTAGCATATCCTGATGCCTTGTTTAGGTCTGGAAAGCCAGGTGACCACCTTCTGTGTGGTCAGGTGCGAACTGGCCTGAAAGTTTGGCTGCCATACAATGTAGACATATGGGCCTGTATAATATGTGGCCCTACGGTCCTATATCTTGCAGGCAACAGGAAGTTGACTGTCACAGGGAGTGAAGCTTGAGAAAAGACCTCAAAGCCTGCCCCCACAGTGACACACTTCCAACAGATGGTGTAGTCCAAATTAAAGGTGCACCCTCCAGTCTCAAGGTCTGGATTAAAGGTATGTCATCCAGTCTCCTCTAACAAGGCCACACTTACACCAACAAGGCCACACCTCATAATAGTGGCACTCCCTTTGGGGACCATTTATTTTCAAACCACCACAGATTCATAGATGATAGATAGATAGATAGATAGATAGATAGATAGATAGATAGATAGATAGATAATAGACAGATGATAGAAAGATAGGTAGATAGATAGACAATAAATAGATAATAGGTAGATGATAGATAGACAGACAGGAGATAAGAAGAGAGAGAGAAAGGAAGGAAGGAAGGAAGGAAGGAAGGAAGGAAGGAAGGAAGATGGGAAGATGTCCTTTACAGATATTGCCATATGTGGAGTCTTTTTTTTAAGATTTTATTTATTATGTATACAATACAGTGTGCTGCCTCCATGTATGAGTGCATGCCAGAAGAGGGCACCAGATCTCATTGTAGATGGTTGTGAGCCACTGTGTGGTTGCTGGAAATTGAACTCAGGACCTCTGGAAGAAATAGTCAGCATCCTTAACCTCTGAGTCATTTCTCCAGCCCCAATGTGGAGTCTTGAGAGAAGTAAAAAGAAGATAAAGGCGGTTAAGTAAGTTACTCTAATTTGCTTGTATTAAGTAAATTTAAAAGTTTGTTTTTCATCTCCTAAACAAAATAAAATTGTTCTTCAGTTTTCCCCAGTAAGCAATAAAGCCAAGGTGGAAGAGCTCTGTTGAAGTCCAGATTTCAAGGGCATCTAACGAAACTAAGTTCCTTTCACCCAGATCAACTTGGCAAACTACTATTCGGAGAATTACGTGACATTTAATGTCTTTGGCTTGTAATTCCAAGATAACTTGGGTCCAGATCAAGATTAGAAGGTAAAGAAGAGCCCATATCAAAGGGCATCTGACACACTGACAATGTCCTCGGGTCCTAGGCTACCTGAGAAGCTGAAGGTCACTTGTGTGCCTGTGGCCTCCTCCTCCATCACTACTGTGTGACTCACTGCAACCATATTTGCCTTGTGATGGGGGAACTGCAGTCAGCAAGTCACTTCTGAAAGAGTTGGCCCGTGAGAGTTGGCCTTTGGTTTCTGAGTGTCTTCTTCATTTCTACCTCTGTTGATATGAAAGGCCAGGTTGTCACCTGCTGCTTAACCTCATGTGACAAAGTCAAAGTCCCTTTTCTTTAATTGTTAACTAGTTATTCCATGAGTCAACATTTAAAAGAAAAAGGGAAAAACAGTAACAATAAGGAACAGCAGGTTCTTAGAAGAAGGAGGGGGTGTTGTCACATTAGAGAAATTTAGTGAATGAAACCAGACAAAGGTTTCTCTGGAGAAAGGAATTTGATAGACTTAGGAATAAAAGGGAGGTGTTCATATTTATTGTAGAAAAACAGCTCTAATGGTTCTTTCTCCTTAATTTCAGGCTCTTAGCACAAAAAAGTCCTCTTCCAGAAATAGGTGTGGCACATACAGGGGAAATGGCCTTCCAATCTCATCCCATCTGACATTATTTGTATTCGTGACTACAGGATAAGAAGATGAGGTAATGAGATAGAGGGGGGGGATGGATGGGTAGATAGATAGATAGAAAGATAGATAGATAGATAGATAGATAGATAGATAGATAGACAGGCAGAGAGAGAGGGATGAATAGGTAGATAGATAAGTAGGTAGATAGATAGATAGATAGATAGATAGATAGATAGATAGACAGACAGACAGAGAGGGATGAATAGGTAGATAGATAAGTAGGTAGATAGATAGATAGATAGATAGACGGATGGATAGATAGATGGATGGATAGATGGATGGATGGATGGATGGATGGATGGATGGATGGATAGATAGCGAGAACAAATTAGGGATCTCCAACTTCTCTCTCCAGAGTAGGGTTTGGTCCCACCATTTTTTGGTTTAGGCTGAGAAATCCCAAAGTATGAGATGCCAGCCACAGTGACTGTGAATTCAGAAGTTCACTCTCTACTCCCATCAAATGGATTTGCTGTTGCCTTGAGTTCAGCTCATTCAGACACCCAAGCGTCTCCTGCAAGGGGACAGGATGCATCCTTAAGGACCTTGCATCAAGCAAACCAGCGACTCAAAGACAACCTTCCCATCACAGTTCTGTGTGTGCCCCTGCCAGGAGGAAGTAGTTCAGTGACCAGGGATGGAGGCAGGCTTCTCACTTCAATCCTTGCTCCTCCTCTTCCTTGCAACACAGCAAATTTGTGCAGAGTTTTTAACTCGGTTGTGCCTAGTTTGCCCGCCAACATGATGAAGGGAAGGCAAGCATCTTATTGGAGTCTCACAGTCTCCACAAAGCCCAGGAATGATCTGAGCACCCGTGTCACAGGTAAACTGAAACATGGGCATTAAGCAACAGGTTCAAGCTATCTCAGTAGTAGGCAGTGTGGGCAGGCACTGAAAGTGAGTTCCTCCCCACAGAGCTCAAAGGCTATGAGGCAGACAAGGTCCAGCTCTGATCCCTCACCTGCTTCCCATCTCCAGGGTGTGTTAGCTTTATAAATACAGTAGAGCACCCTGGAAAACAGCTATGGTAGACACTTCCAAATCACAGGACACTGGGAAGGGGAGGCATGAAAATGTCATACACCACTGAGGAATCCTGGCATATTTCACTGAGTCTTTTCCAAGCCCATGGCTCTGCTTTATAGGTTTATTTTTGTATACATATGATCAAATTGCACATATAATTTTTAACTCTTTTTTTCTTACCCTATGGTACTAAGGGACTCCATTAGCACCTTCCTTCCCGTAGACTGCATATGGCTGCATGAAGTTCCATAATACATTTAATTCGATTTTTTTCCTGATGTTGAACATTTGAGTTTGTCCATTTTTTTTCTTTCTGTAGAATGATTCTTTTTCTTGGTAGTTTGCCTTTTTCGGACATTTTTATTTCCAGCTCTAGCCAGGCCACCCAATGATCTTGGGTTTCCTCTCTCCTGACTTTTTTGAGAGTTCAAGCCCTGGAAAGAAGGTGATCTTTCATACTGTAATGTACACAGCTAATAAAGCCTAATCCACTATATCTTGAAGGGTTTTTAAAAATCAGTTTAAACCAAAGGATGTCTCTATCTGCGGGGTTCTAGCGATCAAGTAATCTAGACAAGGGTATTCCCCTGACACCTAACTGGAGAGTAAACTCCACAACGCCAAAAATGTAGAGGGCTCACTTAGTTACTATGGTGTTAGGCTTCTTAGAACAAGAAAAGAGTATGCTTAAATGCCGGTGGAAACAAAGAGAAATTCACACTAACCCAGATTCTCCAACTATAGCTTGTAAGGTATTTGGCCTTGGGGTTGGGATGGGCCCGCCCACCTTCCCACACCAGTCAGGCCTGGTTCTCAGCCCTAATTACCAAGTGGTGACCACAGAGCGAGTCCTAGGGGTGCAATTGTTAAATTGTGCAAGGCACCTAGGAGTGCAATTGTTAAATTGATCACCACCTCTTGCGAGGTGTAGGACCTGGCGGATCTAGTCTGAGCCGCGAGGAAAATCAGAGACTCGCTGGGAAAATTCCACAAACCTTCTCTGAAGTCACACAGTGCCCCTTCTCCTTGAGACTCCCCTACATACTGACCAAGGCAGAAACGCATCCGCATACTGAACCCCTTCGCACTGGGCCAAGGCTGAGTGTCTCCAAGGAGGCTGGTGTGGAATAGCTGTGGGTCAGACGCTTCGCCGGTGGGAAGCCTTCAACACGGAACAGAGGGGGACGGGATTGCCCCACGCGCGCCGCCCCAACGGGACGCTCCGCCCTCGGCCTCGCTGGTTGGCCGCGGCGCTGCAGAGAGCGGCGGCGGGAGGAGCCGGTGCGCCTGCCACGCAAAACCACGGTGCACGGTCCCCAGCGGCTGTGGCAGCGCTGACAGCAGCCCGTGCGCTGGATCCCCGCGGCGCCCAGCCTCCAGCATCCCGCATCCTGCATTCGCCACGCTCTCCGAGTCCCCGCTAGCGCTAGTACCCACCATGGGGAAGCCCACGAGCTCTGGATGGGACTGGCGCCGCTTCCTGCGGAATCACTGGCTGCTGCTCTCCACCGTGGCAGCCGTGGTGCTAGGTGAGCCGCGCGGGGGGCGAGGCGCACGCCCGGGGACAGGCCGCGTGCGGGGTTGGGTGGGCTTGGCGTAGCGCGTGCTGCCCGCGTCCTCCGGTCCTGGGCACCCAAGCTTGGGGAATAACCCGAGGGCTTTGCTTTCACATTGAGGGTGGGGGAGAAGACAATGCTCATAGGGAAGCCCCTTTCGGGTACTCCGCGAATTGCTGTCCCTGCTTTCTCCAAAATGATCAAAGGGGCTTGGAAGGTGGATGGGGTCATTTGAAAACAAGCAGCATTTAATTTGATCTTCACCCTTAACTGTTCCCACACAGGCACACACCACCAGCACCACATCACCACCACCACCACCACCACCACCACCACCTCCACCACCACCACCACCACCACCACCACCACCACCACCACAAACACCACCACCACCACCACTTTCGTGCCCGACGGAGATTGTATGAATTACAGTTCTCCGTCGGATTTGAACAGACATCTGGGCCTGCGGGATGGTGGAGCCCCCGGGAATGTTGAAATCCCTGCCAGGGGGTAGGTGCCCCCTGACAGGATTCCCCTTCAATCGGATTCATGCCTGAATTCCCACCTAGCAGTTGTGGCTCGAGGGAGGCCACAGGAACCAGCGCTAAGAGATCTCAGCTTCCTTCTTTCTCCTGGGCTACCTGCTCACCACGTTTTCCTATTAAAAATAATACAAGCCTCTTTATCCGTGTTCACACTCGCGTGTATTTAAGTGACCCACGCCTGACATATGTCTGAGCCATTGCTCCGAGGTTTGAGTTACTCGTGTTAAAATCTCATTTTCTGATCAGGTTGTCTGTCTAACTTGAGCACGATAATGTAGTTTAGGGTGGGAGCCCTGTGGGTCTTTAAATCCCGGTGGAGCCGCCCAGCAGGTGCCGGCAGGTGCACCTCGAGGGAAAGTGGATTCCTAGGCAGCCTCCACCCTCCGGCTGGAAATTGCAGCTGCCTCTGCTGGAGAAGGATTGGGACCGCCAAAGGTTCTTCTCCCGGGGTGTCGCACATTGCTCTTGAGTCTGAGAATACTTGGTGCTGCCTGCTCTCCTCCAAGGTCTTCCCCGCCAGAAATAAAATGCCTTTGGAAATTAATGGACTCCTTGGGGTCATTTGGGCTCCTCTGGAACCTTATGCAAAAGGAAGTCGGGCTTCTAGTAAATAAATAACATCCTGAAATCGCCTTACCAGAGGCCCTTTGTGGGAGGAAAGAGGGGGGAAGTAGAACCACTAGTGTTCACTTTCCCAGGTGCCAAGTGGTTTGGGGCATGGAGGGGGGCGGGGAAGGCTTATCTTGCGTCACCACAATTAAATAACAGTCCCTACTGAGAAAGTGGATGGATTTGAGGACATGCCTTGTTTGTTTTTCCCAATGATGAGTATAGAATTTATTTTTAAATTCGTTTTGAAAGCCTCGGAGGTGACTAAAACTTGTGTCTCCTTCCCAGTTCTGGGTGTGTGTTTGCAACCCTGGGCACTCCAGCGATTCCACTTGGTCACCAAATGTTTCCAACCCAACAGTTGGCATGAGTGTTGGTGCCCCACAGCCCACATCCCAGCTCACCAGAGGCCACTCTGGAAAGGAAGCCCAGCCATTACTCGCTGGCCTTTGAACCAGCAGCATAAGCAACATCCTCAGGCCAAAAAAAGGGTTCCCTCCAATTTCTCAGGCATGGCCTGTGGTCTCAGGTGAACCCCCTTTTCCAGTTTGAGTGTGGGTGAGCCACACAGGAACATGGGTCTGGTATTTTGTTTTAGCCGTAAATCCAGCGTTTAAAATTGCAAGTGCCCAGCTGAGGTCTTCCCAATCAGTTGCTCTTTCTGAGAAGTGAGGACAGACTCAGGCATGTTGCCATCTGGTATTAGAATCCCATCAGGGTGCTCAAGCTGGGGTCCTCCTCTTTACCACTCAGAGTCCCTTCGTAAGAGTGAAAACTCAAACCTCCTTGGTTCAGTCTACACTGGCTTTCCTGTTTAATAAAACAGTGAAATCCCAGCCACTTGTCCTGAGAATCTATGAGCCCTTTCCAGATTGTGATAACCAAGTTTGTTTGTTTGCTTTAATAGATGCCTTAATTAATCCAGCAAAATTACCAGCGCTCTCAGGAAGCCTTTTTTTGGGGAGTTTTTGGGCAGGTAGACCTTTAGAAAAGGGGAAATGTTAAATGCCGTTAGTTCCTTTGTGAAATTTGCTGAACACATCCATTCAAATATTTGACCGCCCCCTCAAATAAGCCAGCAGCTATTACTATGTAAACTGTTTTGGTTAGTGAAACTAAGGGCAAAGTTTTCTTTTTGCCAGGCAAGATGGCACAAGCCTGTTGTCAGGGATCAGGAGCTGGAGAGGAAGATCAGGAGTTCAAGGTCAGCCACAGCTGCGTAGTGAGTTTGAGGCTGTACTGAGCTACTGAGCTATACGAGACTGTGCGTATGTATCCGTGTGCCCTCGAACTCCTATTTAAAGTCTGATTTTCTGAGATATAGCTACGGAGGGAAAATACAGATAAAGATCACTTTCATTAGTGTGATGTTAGTTTGGTTTTTAATGGCCGAGGAGAATCTTTGAGATAAATGTTTGACAAGCCCTTACTTGCAAAGTTGGTATTAAGTAGGTGACTGTCTTTGATAATTCTTGTGGAACCCTACAAGATCTTGAAAATAATATTTTCACCTAAGAGGATCATTTTATTTGGGTTCCCTGTTCCCACAGCAGAATAAGTATAGCATGGTGTCTACAATCGGGAACCCTGCTGGAGCCCCGGATTCTGCCTGCTGCTATCTAGGTTCCTTGCTTAGTCTCTGGGATTCTCAGTCCTCTCACCTTACGGGAACTTGTGTGACCAGAGATGATTAGGAAACTGTGGAATCTCCCAGTGTGTGGATGGCATACAATAGACATTCAGTCAATGCTACACTGAAGAAAGTCTGAATTTAAATAGGAGAAAATTAATACATTGCTTTGAAATTGAGTCTCTATTCTGCCTAATGTCCAGTTTATAATTCCAAGCCCATAGTAATGGTTGTAATGGCATTTGATGGCATGCTCTGCCGAAGCAATGCCAATCTCCCTGGCATTTGTCACTTTAAAAAGAGGCAATAGAAAAAGTTAATGACTTTGTCTTTTACCCTATGGACAAATTCTCAACTTGCTTAACAGGCAGAAAGTCAGCGGAAAGAATGTCCAAGCAGGATTCCTGTGTGTGAGAATTCGGCCACCAAGGCTAGGGCAGCTTGTAGTACGGGGAGAGATGCTCATGGGTTCTCCATCGCACTCACCATGGGCAGTATCATCCCCCTCCCCAAGGCCTTCAGTAGAGAAATCTGCAGTGCTCTGCTTGGGAGCTTTCAGAAAAGGCCACAGATACTGCTTGCACCAAGGAGCTGTCAAACTTGTTCATTGTAAAGCCATCCTTATGAGCTCCAAAGAATCAATCATCTCTATTGTAAAACTCTGAGCTAATTACTCCAAGTTCTGAGTAAAGCCTTATTTAGTCTTGTGTCTTCTGCCTGGGACTGGCTCTGGGTATGCCTGACAGTGTTCATTTGGACCTAGCCTTTGCTTTTCATTCTATTTTGGAGCCAGCCATGACTCAGATGATTCCAGACCCAGCTCTTCATCTCACTGGCATTTGTACAGCAGGATTTAGGAGTGTATCTGCCTGGCGTGGTGGCACATGCCTTGAATCCTAGTGCTTAAGAGGCAGAGGCAGGTAGATCTCTGTGAGTGTGAGGCCAGCCTGGTTTACTTAGTGAGTCAGAAACCAGTTAGGAAACAAGGTGCACAGATATCTGGGACATCCTGGCTCCTTGGATACATAGCAGGGAAAGGTTGGGGTTTGGGTGGACTAGAAGGTTGAGATGGTGGTGAGAAAGGAACTGGACAACAGGGTGGGCCAGGTTCATGTCCAAGCAAGGAGAGAAAGGGCCTCATCCAGGCAGTGGAAGTAGAGCATAATGAGGGCCATCAAACTAACTCACTAGGGCCTGGTGGAATTTGGTCAGAGTGAGGGTCTTTAGCAGGATCAGGAATTCCAGAAAAGGGGTGGGTGTGGACAAATGGAGGTGGAAGAACCTCCAGGGTCCTTTGGGTGAAACTAGGCAGCAAACAGGGAGTATTCAGTCTAGAGACAGGTTGTAAGTGTTAGGTAGATCATATCAAACTCAGGAAGAGGTTAAAAGCTCTTTATGAACAAATGAACCCATTTTAACAGGGAGGTGAAAAGACCCAGAGCTGAGGCGTGCAGACAGGGGTTGCTGACCAGGAACCAGAGTTAAGACGTAAACAGAGCTGGGGAGGACACTCAGTAGTGCACCGTGAGTGGAGGAGGCCAAGTAACCCGGGGAGACTTTCTTTGGAGGCACTGGGGTGTGAAGGAGTTGGGAGAAAGTGGTGATTAAGTGTTATGGCCAGAGAACCTTTTCTTGTTTTGTTTTGTTTCATTTTGGGTTTTGAGTCTGTTCAAAAGTAAGCAGTCTTGAAGGTGGAGATGAAAAAGGGGAAGAGAAAGAGATGGAGGGAAAGAGAGAGGGAGAAGATAAAGGGATGGGGAAAGAGAGGGGGTTATGAAGAGAGACTGTATATGAATTATGCTAGGTAGAACAAGGCCCAGGAGAACTGGATGCTTGCCCACAGGGTAGAGGGACCTGGTGACAGCTTGCCCTGAGCAAGGCGCAGGGTTGTATGCCTGATCTGCCTCTTCTGGTTGGCAGAGCCTGTCTGAGTCTCGCTCCTCCACAATCCTTAACTAACTGGCATCATACTGTAGAGGATGCTGTTCATAGGTTCCGGAGACTAAGGCATAGCCTGTCCATTTGGAGGCCACCACTGACACCTCTATTATGGGAAGAGCTGAGAATACTGTCCAAGAGACCTTGCCTAGAAGCAGATCAGATTCTCTCATTTGAGGCCTTAAAATAACCTATGGCTGCTGCCACCCTAGGGTAGATAGGCCATCTCTCTAGCGTGGCATCCCAAACCT